CGGAAAAAATTTAATTTCTTTGAATATTAAATCAGGCAAATCATTGTGTGACCCGGGGGCAAACTAGTTATAAAAAGATCTGCCGCCTGAAGATTGGGTTATGTCATGGTGCCCGGCATTTCCACCAAAATGCTAATGCCCAGGAAAGAATAGTTATCCAAAGTCGGGGCGAGAGCATCTGGCCATGTTCTTCGACAGCATGATTTCATATTTCATACCTTCGCGTTCTTTCAACTTGTTTGGCCACTTCTAATCGTAATGCCGCTGGCTTGGGGGCAAATCTGGGTTCAAACACCTTTCGAAAACTTGCCTATTGCGTGTATTGATTGGAGTGTGTAGCTCCGAAGCGCGACTCGGTTTTTTCATCTTCGCAGATCCCCCATCGAAAATCGGACTCATTGCGAAAGAAATCTTCATGTCTCTAACAATTTGTTGCGCCTGCTCTGCAAGTCAACCAAGATGGAGCTGCTGGAGCTGGAGTTGCTTCATTGTATATCACTGAAGCATATTTCGAGTGGCTGTTAACAGTGCGAGGTCCATAACATGAATTGTCAATACAACGGGTTTTTTGAAATAAAGCTTAGAAGCCACAAAAAAAATTATATTTTTAACCAATTCTAGTCCTTGGCCGAGATAATAATTTAATATTGAATAAGCAGCAATTTCCTATGAATTTTGCACACTTGAAACATTGTTTCACTTACACGAGCTCCACTGTAATTTTTCTTTGAACCGCGCATTTTGCAATCTTCATTTCTAATGCCTCGGAAACTGGCTGCAATTTTGTTAGCCGCTTGCCGTTTTACAGTTTGATTAGCTGGAAAATTTGCCATCGTTTAATTAAATTATGTTTGCAGTTGGTAGTTGATGCCTAGGCTTACGTGTATGGGCAGTCGAATGACAATAAGCGGAAATGGCAATTTGCATGCAACGGCAGCTGACTATACCATTTCCAGCCCCTTGTTCCCGATCCCAAATAATTCTCCGAAGTGAAAGGTGCGGTCTGTTGGCCAACAAATGCTGACGGATAAACGGAAAGCATCTTGGCCAATGAACTCTGCGTTCTAAGGCAACTTCTTGGTGATTCTGCAATTTCTCCGCTCTGAGTTGGGAATTGATTTCGCTGAAAAATTGCTGGATATGCATGAACCGTAAGAATAATCAAAGCAACCGGCGTACCTATAGTGATGGCTGCTAAATGCAAAACACGCACAAAGGTATCTCTAAAGTACCTCACCTCGTTCCTCATGGGTGGGGAAATACACAGTTAGTCTGAGTTTAGTTGGTAATGCTAGTCATTTGACTTAGATCATGCATTTACGTTTATATAACAGTTAGGAAATATAACATAAAATAGCATAAATAAATCAAAATGTTGAAATCCAAACACTGATCCGAGATTCCAGAATTTCTTCCTAGAAAAAGACAGCTTAACTTCAAAATATCAGTATCCCATCGTCCCATTTCTCTCATTACCGACATGCACGCACATATTTCAATCATCTTGATGAAGCTGTAGCCAACTGTGCCACTGTGGAAATCGAGCTCGAAGCTATTACTCTTGGAGCCACATCACCCCCATCGGCCACGCCCATCCGCCCCCTCGGAGCGAGGGAAATAGAACTCACATCGCATACGTATAGTATAGTAGTATGTTGAAAGTCCCAAAAAAAAGCGCTAACGAACTAAGTGTGGCCGAGGTCCCTGGTTCTGGGTCCCTAATGGCCTGCACATGTGCTACGTGGCAGCAAACGAACTGCAGTTGGACCAACCAAAGTACACCCCCTTAACTCCGAAATCCCCAACTCCCCTTCTGAATTGTACAAAGAAATCGACGCAGTCACGTAAAATTATTTTAATAATCACATAACTTTCGGCATTTACACGCCAGGCGACCCAACGGGAGTAGCAAACAAAATGTCAATAAATTTCGGACTTTTTGTTTGGGCTGAGCAAAAAATATATATTTACAAGTGCAAACAAAATTATAGAAATATATAAAAATATATACAAAATATAAAAAAATATTTTAAATAGGTAATATAATATCTATTTATTTTGCATTATTTAATAAAAATACAACAAATTAAGCATGATTTTGAAGGAATCATCAAAATTTGTATTCTAACCACAGCTGTATATGGTAACAACGTTGGGATGCGCAGAGAAAAGAATAAGTTTTTGGTGGCTAGAGGGCTTAAGTGGGATTTGCGAGGAACTTTAGTGTCAACTTTAACAATAAGTTGTGAAAAAACGGCACCATAAATGCCTAGCCGAAACATTTGCTTGCACATAAGCCGCAAAACTTTTGACGGCCACTGTGGGCTAATGAAATGAAGCCTTCCCCAAAAAACATACATAACATACATAGCAACTTGAGCTGATTCCCCACAGCAGGGGGCCGTCTGAAGGATTTTTCCTTTCTGGTCAGCCCCTGGACACAGTTTCAGCTATCAATTGCATCTGTCTATCCCGCAGATACATTTCACTAAAGTCTAACCTGGGATTTTTCCGGGACTCCCCCGTTGTCGCTCTTTGATATTCTGCCCAGCTGAGCAGCTCCAGTGCAGTCGTTCGAAATAAATTACTCTGTGCACCTAATGACAAACTAAACCAGACCCCGACTCCTCGAACTTTACTCTGGCCTGAAGTTAGAGAGGAGATCGCTGGTTGTCATTATATTTTTCCCTCGGTAGCTTTAAGCTTGAGACAAACTGGAGTAAACAGTTTAAAAATGGAGCTCAAACATTTAAAATTAAACAAATTTTTTGAATACATATATTTTTTGGTATATTCTCCAGATTTCCGAGTGTATTAAAGCTTTCGACTTCTAATCCCATTTTACTCCCAGTTTCTGTTGTTGTATTTGTTTCCCTTTTATGGCCGCATTTATTGTCATTATTATTTTGATACCGTTTTTTAAGTTTTCTGCTGTTGTCTGCCCAGTTTTCCTGCTATCTGCCCGTAGATTTATGCCAACAAAAGCCAACAATAAAAAACATACACTCCGTTTTTGCTTTTAATTTTGTTTCTTCCCAGTGCTGTCCAGTCGGAGCAGCGGACAGCTGCATTAAAAAGTTGCTAAAGAAAACAGTTTGCATTGCAATTTTTACTCGGTTTTATTTTTCAACTCTCTTTAGGAGGTTCGTTGTTTTCTTCTATTTCTTTGTGCTTTGTTGTGTTATCAACGTTGGGCAGTAGTAAAAAATATCAAAACAAAATAAAAATAGATATGTACTTAAATATATACTTTTTGTGTGTGCTTTAGAAGTGACCAGGGCCCACAAAAGGTTGTCCGGTCTGTTGCAACTCGGTTAAGCCCTCCCAACTGGGTCATTGTTGTCCGATCTGGCTTACCGACTCAAGCAGAAGTAATGCCAAATCTGAACGCTGCGAATTCAATTTGATATGAAAATATATGCATAAAAGGAGAATAATTGAATAAAATACATCGACGTAAAACAATAACATTTTCTCATTGCATTAAAACCAGACTTTCCTCTGAGGGATAGATATATTTGAAATATTTGACATCAATCGAAAAAAGTAAACGCAAAATTAAGTTAGCTGCACCCACAATCTTTTTATACCCGTTACTCGTAGAGTAAAAGGGTATATTGTATTCGTGCAAAAGTATGTAACAGCTAGAAGGGAGCATTTCCGACCCTATAAAGTATATATATTCTTGATCAGGGTCACTAGCCGAGTCGATCTAGCCATGTCCGTCTGTCCGTCTGTCTGTCTGTCTGTCCGTATGAACACTGAGATCTCGGAAACTATAAAAGCTAGAAGATTGACATTTTGCATGCAGATTCTAGGAGTTCCTACGCAGCGCAAGTTTGTTTCAAAAGGGTGCCACGCCCCCTCTAACGCCCACAATCGCTTATATACGATTTTAAAAATTTCAATATTTCGGAAAAGTAAAAAAGCAGTTCTATGGTGTTTATCAATATTTATGGAAATGTAGACAAATTTTTTTAAATCGGACCATTCGTTAAAAAGTTACGGCGGATAAAAGTTTTTATCCCCATCTCCTTCGCACTCCCTTTAGCTGAGTAACGGGTATCTGATAGTCGGGGCACCCGACTATAGCGTTCTGTCTTGTTATTACTTTTTTTTTAACGACCTCATACTAATAACAATTTTAATTGACAATTGACTATTTTAATTGAATCTGAGATGCATAGACACGATTTCAATCCTTAATTAACATTAAAGACCATTTAAATAGTAAAATGTTTTTACTTTATAAAATATAATATACCCAATGATGATAACATAGTCATAATGTTAGGACTGATATTTATGGAGTGTGTTTCAAAAATAATTGTCAGTAAAAAACTGCGTCAAGTATAGTGATTTACTGCGAGTATAGTTGAAATGTAACAATTTATTTATTTAAGCGATGCAATTTGAAGAATATGAAACTTGCAATTAAAAATTGTTGAAACTATAGGTTTGATTGTTTTAAAGAAAGGTCTAGAGAGTTTGAAATACCTCTATCGGCGAGCTGTACCGCACACCTGTCAAGCGTCCCTTGGAGCAACACCCTACAACTCATCCCGTATTGTTTGTTAATTTCTTTTATAATTTTTGCAATTTCTCTTCACTCACTAGCAGTGCAATTCTGGTGTCCCTTCGCCGATTTTTGCTTTGTTGTTCCGTTTTATTCCGTTCCAGCTTTTCAGAACTTAATTAAATGTTGTCACAGCGCACACTTTGTAGTCCTGGCGCCTGGACCTTTTGCCCCTATACCACCTTTTTATTTCCTTCGAGTCCTGGGAATCCTGGGAATCCTGGGGACAGGAAACAGGGAACCGCCCCGCTGGCTGTTTGTGACAGCCATTCGAAGTGTAAATGAAATAATAGCTGCTAAAAACCAATTTGGCGTAAATTATAAAAGCTTAATGGCCATTATAAATGGTGAACAGTCCCCGTCCCCTTTCATCGACCTGTTGGGTAACCTTTGACTAACAATTTATTTGCTTGTTCTCTTGCAGTTCCGTGGAGCTGATCGCCCTGCTGGCTATTTCGTGCACCTTCTTCCTGTTCATGCACACGAACAAATTGAACAGTCGCCTCAAGGAGATGGAGGTGAAGCTGCAACCGTCGGAGTTTTCGGCCCTGGGCCTAACGGGCAACCACATCAGCGGACACGATGCGGGCAGTAAGTCACTATCCCTCAGATTCAGATACCCACTTCCCCCAGATGCCATTATCTCAGATGCATATCTAACGCATAGCATCGCATCGGATCGCACCTCCCCTCATCTCATCTCGTTTCCATTGCGGAACAATGGACTCAAGGGCACAATGTGGACTAGAATTTGCGCTCGATTGCATTCGCGTTGCGTTGCCTATCGGTTAAGGCATCAGATTTGGACAGGAAGTTTGGCAAAGTGCAAAAAACGGTGGGAAGAAAATAGGGTACGAGTAAGGGATATTGTGGGAATTTTGCAGACTAAACGTTTAGTTGGTTACCACTTAAAGAACACAACTGTTTTTAATGTTTATCTACAATACACAATTCAATACATATATTGGAGGGGATTTCAAACAAAACATATTAGCTCAGAAAAAACTTTAAAAAAAACAAGAAAATGTTTGTTTGGTTTAATTACTTCAGTTGTTTAACTCGGATTAAAAAAATTGTTACTAAACATTAACTTATCGGAACTGTCTGACCCACCCTTTTGATCTATTCAATACCTCTTATGATAGCCAGTTACACCCAATTGATTTTTAATTACCGCATTGACCCAAACCTCAAGCCAGGCAAAAAACAACAGATTCAGGGAGACTGAGACCTTTGTTAAAATTTCCCGTTGGCGCTTGCCATAAATTAGTTGATCGTTTTAGTCTAAATTAGAGCTCGAGAATTAATTATGGAATATTTCGTAAATGTAGCACAAAGAGAAAATATAAATAAATGGATGTTCATATAAACCATTTGTGTGTACTTTTGGAATAGCACTAATAAACTGGCAAATTAAAATCAACATAATATATGGTCGATGCATTCATAGATTGCTGCTGCTACAAATATGAGCAGTGCACACTTTAATTATAATATGCATGAGCTTACATATATATTGTGTTTATATATTTTTTGTTCATTAGATAGCCCCCTTTTGTCAATATTTTAGTGCATTAATAAATTATTTAGGAGCGACAGGTCCGCTAGGAAAAAGGTTTGGGGCATTATCATCGTGACTGGGAATTTAACCTTTTGACGTAGCGTTAAGCCCGATTTTGTTTTTGTGGCTGGTATAAATAATGCATAATATTATTAATTCAATTAGTTTGCAAAATAATGATAAAAGCAACAATAGGAAATAGGGGATTAATTGGCGTGAATTTAAAATCACAGAAATCCCTTCGTGGTTTCTGAATTAAAGCTCTATGCGGAGTAAATTTTATTTAAATAAAAATAAATGCATAGAAATAAAAATGTATCAAATCTGATTTTATATGTTCAGGGTTTATAAATACACATTACAAAAAACGGTTTTAGTTTTCTTCTTGTGTGGACAGTCATCCCAAATAATTTGAAATACCCCCATTGAGATCACATTACCCAGGACCACAAAAGCCATCACTTGACACCTTTTTGATCCACAACAATGTTTGCCAAACATACTACAAATACCAAAAGCCAAACCACAAATTGAGTGCATAAACAATAAAAAATTAAAAGAGCACTATTGCTGGCAAATGAAAATACGCATTGGGGCGGCACTTGAGATTCTGCCACTCAATAGTCTGTCTAGTCTGTCAAAAAACCACAATCAGGCCGCTTCCAACCAACTAATAACGCTATTATTAGGCAACCGCGGAAAAATTCAAATCGAATCAAAACTCTCTGAAAATGCAAAACCCTAATTTCCATGCCGGAAGTTTGGCGGGTTGCTCGGGCCGTGCAATTCCACTTGCAAATTAGGCAAACGTTGCCCCAACCTCGCAACGGCAGCTGTGCCAAGTGATCTCCACTTGGTTGATTTTCGCGGCGAAAATGGGACTTGAAGGGGCCTGAAGAAAGAAAACAGAAGACTTCACGCCTAGCTGCAGTGATTGCCAAACAACAACAGCAGTCAGCTGGTGCTCTGTGGTAACGAAGAAAGACTTTCTATAGGAGCCGAAAATACAATACCCTGCCAGATCGATTTCACTTTCTTTAAAATCGAGTACTTCCGTTCAATAGTTCAAATGTATCTTTAGGTCTTTTATTTTTAAGGATAATCACATTATAGTTATATCTCATTTAGTTTACTTTTATAATGCCAAACGATCGTGGTTATAACTTTTTTCCTATAATTGTATTTATTTTATTTTTTTATTTAAGTACCGTAATAATCGGTAACTAATATTCAAAGCACAATGAAAAAAGGACGATGAACCGATAAAAAATCAAATAAAAGGACAGATAATAAAATATAGATTAATAAATTCATTAGGTTCTTAAAAATTTTTCTAATTAATCAAATCATAAGCAGAAATAAAATTTTTTTTAAAGATCATATGCAACCCATTTCTCTGGTAAGAATTTTGAATTGAAATTATCTGCGTAACTATTTCATCCAATCTTTAAAAAAATTTCGAGAGAGTAAAAGCGTAAATTCCATAGCCAAAAGCGGTTTTCCACTGTACCGTGAGTGATGATGATGATAATGACGATGTGGAAGAGGATAAAGTCGGGCCAGATGCGACGGCCTTTCAGAGAGCACTTGTGGGTTATGTTTGCTGCACAGCTGGTGGCATCTTCATTGTTGCCGCTCTTGCATTTGGGTCTGCGCACGCGTCAATTGCCGACAGTTACAAATTGTCCCCGGTTAGCCCCTCTCCAAAAAAAACCTGGCTAATGGCAAAAAAACAAATGGCCAAAAAAAAAAATAAAATATTTTGGAAAAAAGGAAAACTAAATAACACCTTGTGACGGTGATGGAGTTTTCCTCTGGGCTGAAGACAAAACGAAATAAACAGTGAGAAATACAGGAAAAAGGTTTACCTTCAGCCAGTTGTTCATCCATTCATAAATATTTCATTTAATTGACTCACACGACTCGGGGTCGAGTACGAGATAAAGATACGAATATGACGACGTACTCAACTTGCCATCATGATGATGATGACACCGTTTGTTGCCGCTCGTCGATGTCGGTTTTTGTCTGCCTGCTTTTTTGTACTTATTTTTTATATGTATTTGGTTGGCAACATTGAACTTGACTTAAGTTAATTAACGGTGCTGAACGATGCAAGCCAAGTTGTCTGGCGGTTGGTTAATTTCGTGGTCTAATGAGCAAAAGGAAATGGGAAGGGAAAATAGAAAGAATCTTGTGCATTTAGGAAAGTATGTGTTTAAAAAGAGTGGGTTAAGCGGACAATGATTTAAGAAAGAAATTGATCCATTTCCTAACAACATTTTCATTATCACCCATTAAATATATTAAATTATTTTATTTGAATGCTTTAAAAAGCATATTTTAGTATTAGTATTTGCATACAAATTAATAAAGTGTACCAATGTTATTATGAACATGCTGAAAACATTATTATTTATAAACAAACTCCCGTTACTCAGCTGAGTGTGAGGAAAATTGAGACTTGCAAGCAGCAAAGCAATTTTGCTCAAAATACTTTATTTGCTCATAACTTTTAAATAAATGGTCCAATTTTAAAATTTTTACATTTCGATAGGAATATGGCATTTACACTTTTACAAAAACAGTAAAGATTTGGGCGCCAGTCCTTTCAGGCGATTGTGCGCGTTAGAGTGAGCCTGCCGCTCGACTGCGTAGAAATCCCAATACATCGTACCCTTTTATCTACGAGTAAAGGGTGCAAATAAAGGATAAATAACGTGAATGATACTGCAAAAAGCAAGTCCTCCAAAAATTCGGAGTATTGGTTTTTATAATACGCAATGCAAGATATTCAGCACCGGTCAGCCATTAATTATTTTAATATATCTGTTTTTCCTACCTTTAACAAATGTGAGGAATCTTTGTTGTTGTCAACAGTTACCCTTGACGTACTAGCAACACTCTTTAGAACCTTTCAGCACTCTACCTGACACAAGCCATTGTCTCAAAAGTAAGAGACCAAACCAGCAATTGTTTGCACCTTTAACTGGCACACTAACAACAATCTTAGCAAAAATGTAGCAATACCAACTTTGCCCCTGGCTAAAATGCATAGCAAACCAGTTCTTTGCGCTCACTACCGAACCGGGCAGCTTTATTTTCAATTAGACAGCCACAAGACACGAACTAAGCCACGGACCCAAACACCCATAGAAATAGCACCAACGGCAATGGGAAACCTCCACCTACAGAGAGAGAAAGTGTTTCGAAACTTAATACTAAATTGAGATGTCAAGATGAGTATTTAATATCACTAAATATATATTTTTTAACCTCTCTACATTTTTAAATTAAACCTTTACTTGACATTCAATAAGATTGGATTTCAGTGCTTTAACGTTTTTTCCTCTGTATATCAAGTTCGCTGGGTAGCCAAACTAAGTGTTTTGGAGCTGAGGTCCAATTCAGTTGGAAAATGCAAGCAAGCAAGCAATTTGTGTTGGCAGGGGCGGAACCAAGGGGCTCGTATAATTTTGGAGCCAGATGTTGAGATAGGGTGTGATAGAGAGATTGAGAAGTGAAACACAACATTAACCTAATGAACGAGGTTTTAAGTGGGGTAGATTTAGAACAAGAGGCAAGGCTCTTTACACAAGGAAGTTGTCACGTAGAATAGGGAAAAGAAAAAAATCCTGGATGCTATAAATTACTTAGGAATTTTAACTTAAACCTTCTGGAAATAATAATAATTACAATTTTATGCTATTTGAAGAGAGATTTTCTTTAAATTTTACTTATTACAAAAAAATCAAATTTTTCGAAAAATTAAAAATTGTATATTATTATTACCCCTTTCCCGCTTTTATTTCATACCACATACAATTCATTCAGAGCCAATTCTCATAATTATTCTGAAATGCCTCATATTCTACAAGCTGCGACATATGCTACGTTGTTCACCTTCGGTGCATTGGCAGTTCAAGTGGCCAATAACCGGAGCTAGGCTAAGATTGAAGGTTGCATTAGAACACCAAAAAAAGTCAGATCCAATCAGAGCCAATGAACAAGGGACAAAATGGGACGAAGTGACCCAATTTCCAAACCGCACAAAACGAAAACATACAACAGTGCGAAAAAGAATCAAAATAAAAAGTGACAAATAAAAGAAGGGCAGGCTTCTATTTTAAGGTTCCGACCGCAAAATGTTTTTCTCTCTTGGTTCAGTGACTTTGTTGTCCGCGGTTTTTGCAGAAACTCGGTCGAAACCAGTTGGTGCAACACTTTCATTCATTCACATTTTCCAGCGAAACTGCCCAATTGACCAAATACAACAGATCTGGTTTAAAGGCAATCGGACTGGATATACGCAGACTTCCTTGTTCAGTTCGCGGCGAATTATGAAATACTCGGCCATAAAAACCAAAGCCGAGCCAAAACAAAAGTGAACCGACCCACACTACACTTGAAAATCAAGATGTTTTCCGCATCTCTCTGTCCAACTGATCAATGGCAGTCATTTACTAGTTTGACTCAAATTGTACGAACTGCCAGCGACTTGAGCTGGACAAATGTCTGGCATCAGCATTTTAATTGACCGCACGACACGCAGAAATATCCATTTGCATGCGTTTACTTCTTGGGCCGCTAAGAAATGGGGGAAACCTTTCAAATCCACCGGGGATGATCCCTATCGCAGCCCAAGAGAGCCGGAAAAGTGAAAGGAATCATGATGAGCTTGCATATTTATTGCACTCGTCTTTATTTATTTATCATAGCTGTAAATGGCCCCAACTTCGACTTGGGCCTCGACATCCCCGTCAAACATTGCATAAACACTTTCGGGCCCAAATGAAAAGTAAAAGTATTCGGATTGCTTCCTTGGCGTCAGATTTTAAGGTCACCGATTATTTCAACTTAATTGGGTTCGAGATGATAACTGATATTAGTAATCATGGCGATGTTAGATGATAATTGGATTGTCGTGAGATGTTTATTAAGGTATCAAGAAAGGTACATGGCAAGTGGGTTTACTTTACTACCTATAAAAAATAATATATTTATTTATTTACATACTGTTAGCTTAATGTTACAAATTAAAGCAACAGGGATATACAAATCAATATTTTGTTCCTTATCTCATTCAAACAAGTCAACGTTTAAACTGTTATAATTCGAACTCTTTTAAACCTTTGCGACATTTTTCAGAGCACGACGACATCAACACTTTACATGGCACCTACCAATATCTGAAGAGCACCGGCCAGGTAAGCACAGTTTATATTTAACTCGCCTTTTGCCATATCGCCGTAAAACATTGTTGCATACATTATTGGTGGTTCATATTGCGATAGAGAAACCATCAAAGAAAGTCCATTAAAAGCGGCCGACATGTGGAACGGTAGTTTCAGCTCCTTGGTGTTTGATATTGCATTCAGCCTACAGCATACAGCATTTAGTATTTTGCCTGCCCGAAAAAAAATCATCCCTTGTGTTTCTCTCTCTGTCTCGCTCATACGCTGTCTTTGTCGCACTCATTGTGTCAGCGAGGATCCCATACTATCCGTAGCTTTCTCCTATTAAGACCTCACCCACATACAACACGAACAACACCCCACACACTAGATTTAAACAGTTTAGCCAATTAGCTATCTGGTAGACTATCAGCTATCCCTATACCTATACCTACAACTGTACCTATTCCTATACCGACTCTGATTCTAGCTAGATGTACACTATCCTAAAGATCTCTCTCCTAACACTAACCAAACTACGAAAATTACACTTCGACTTTGTCTTGGAATTTTGTCAGCGCAGTCTTTTTTTTTTGTTCGTTAGCTAGTTGCGACATAGAAGCGATAGAAAATCGATTTATAAAGATTAAATAGTAAAGGTAAGTGTCCGTTGTGGGGAGGATTAATATTTATGCCTATGTGCCCAGCTGTGCAGTGAGCAACTTTTTGCGAAATTTCTAAGTCGATGGGATGCCCCAGGTGCCATGTTTGTTGCTTCCAAAAAAAAAAAATTTAAATGCAAACCGCTTGAAGTCTATTTTTATAAAACTTTATATGTTGTCCTACCTGTGTTTGACTCGTTTATGTGCGTGTATCTCTGTGTCTGTGCCCCCAACACCAAGCAACCTGTAGCCTGCAACCTGAAAACTACTCCAACTAGCACTCCCAACTTTTGCAATCCGGCAGCTAAAACACCTGACCGCCGCACAGCTGAACAACACCCCGCGAGCCCAACTGGACACGATATTGTTCAATCGGATCACGAAGACTGGCAGCGAAAAGATGATGGAGTTGCTCAAGATCCTGGGCCAGCGCAATAATTTCGAGGCTCGTCGCGATGTAGAGGGATTCTACGAAGTCGTCTTAATGCACGACGCCTATGCCAAGAACTTTTTACGCACTGAAGTGCTCAACTGCAGCAGAGCCAACACATATACGAAACATGTGGCCTTTTTGGACTTTGACCGATTGGACGAACCCTGGCCGATATACATTAACATGGTTCGAGACCCCATCGAGCGACTGGTCAGTTGGTTTTACTACGCCCGCGCCCCATGGTATTTGGCCGAAAGAAGGGAAGTCTTTGGGGACGCCGTCAAAATGCCCAGTATAGAGTGGCTCAAAAAGGACTTTAACCGCTGCATCGAGGAGCACGATCCCGAGTGCGTGTTCGAGCAAATGGAATTGGGAAATCTGGGCGACCATAGACGACAGTCACTATATCTTTGCGGTCAGGTCCAGGAGGTGTGCATGTGAGTAGCTGTTCTAGAGGTAGGAGGGATGAACAGATTTAAAAGAGGTTGATCGGAAAGTGAGGGAAAGCGGCCTAGAAAAAAATCTTCCGAAATTACACCACAAAACCCTTCAACAAAGTTTTGCCGAAAGGAAAGCTTTGCTAGCCTGCTAATAAATATTATTGTAGGAGAATTATCTTGGGACGTATATTAGCAATAAACTTATTTTAGTCCAACCTTCTGAAATCAATCAAAAAGTAATTTCCAAATTAAATTCCTTCGATTTTCGATCAGCACACTTTTAGTTCAAAGCCCACATCAAAATCTTCGTTAGCTAGACCAAACTGTGACTGAAACCCAACCATTTTTAGGCCCTTCAACTCCCACGAGGCCATGCAACGGGCCAAGAAGAACGTGGAGGAGCACTATGCAGTGGTTGGGACCTGGGAAGATACGAATACCACGCTATCGGTCCTAGAGGGCTACGTACCACGATTCTTCACCGGGGCCAAAGACGAGTATTACGCTTTGAAGAAAAAGTTGGGAAATGTGAACCGAAATGTCTTCAGACCCACTCTCAGTGATAAGGCGAGGGTCATACTCAGCCAAAATCTCACACGGGAAATCGAGTTGTATCAGTTCATCAGACATCGTCTGTACAAGCAGTATATAGCCCTGCAGCTGGATATAGATCCCAAGATGAGGGATTAGTAGAGCACTAGACACTAAGGGTTCGTTGAAGAGTAATAAATCTATTCTAATTTTCGTATTGCTTCGATCTTTTCCGGAATAATTCTAACCCTAGCTTGGTGAACTTTCGATTGGGCCAGCTTCGATAGATTTCGCAAAGATTTTGCCTCATATAGCTTATCGTCTATGCAGCCGGTTGGATATAATGTACACGATCGCCGTAGCAGCGATGAGGAGTTGCGGGATCCAGAGGGACATGGACATCATCACGATCACCACTCGCACCACCACCATGTGCATCATCAGGGAAAGATCGATGGCCATAACCACAAGGCGGCCCATGACAAACAGCTGGCAGTGCCCCACAATAAAAATAAGGAAGACGATGTCCACTACGAAGACGACGAGGAGGATGAGGACGAGGACGATGATTTGGCCAATGGTGTTGGAACCAGCGACGATGAAGGTTTCAATTTCAAAGCCGATCTTCTGAACAACACAAAATTTGCCGAGGTGGACTTTGTCTTCTTCAATCGAGTCCCGAAAGTGGGCAGTCAATCGTTGATGGAACTAATGGCTCGGCTGGGCAAGATCAATGGCTTTACCCATGCCCGCAATAAAGGCAGTGCCCATGAAACGGTCATCATGAACAAACAGCGGCAGAATGATCTTGTGGCCGATCTCCTGACTCGGCCAAAACCACATATATATAGCCAGCATATCGCATACATTAACTTTACTCGCTTCCATTTGCCAAAGCCGATTTATATTAACTTAATTCGCGATCCTATCGATCGGATTATCAGCTGGCACTATTATATCCGGGCACCGTGGTACTATCGCGATATGCAGGCCAAGCTGGGTGACAAGGCCGTTCCCATGCCCTCGGAGGAGTTTATGAATCTCGACCTGGACACCTGTGTGAAGAATCACGATCCTCACTGTACCTTTACCCAAATGCAGGTGAAGAATCCAGTGGGCGATCATCGCCGCCAGACACTTTTCTTTTGCGGGATGAATCAGAAGCTGTGCATGTAAGTAGGAACTAGATAGGGACTTTAATGCGCTCCTAACCGGAAACCATCGATAGGCCCTTCAACTCCGAGGCCGCCATGCAAAAGGCCAAGCGAACAGTGGAAACGGAATACGCAGTGGTGGGCACCTGGGAGGATACAAATATTACGCTTTCTGTTCTGGAGGCCTATATACCACGATATTTCCGCAACGCCAAAGTGGCCTACTACTGTAAGAAGGTTTAAGCCTAAGCCGAGGCCATATCTGAATCCGCTTAATTTTTTCAGTGGGTAAAGACCGTCTGTCGCGAGTAAATCGCAACAATGTCACTCGAATCGTCAGCGACGAAACTCGACTTATTTTGAGGAAAAATCTCACCAACGAGATCGAGTTTTACGAGTTTTGCAAACAGCGTTTGTACCTCCAGTATGCTGCTTTGAGTCATGGAAAGCGATTTGGGGAGGATGACTATATTTTGGTGCCCGAACAGCAGAACGATTACAATGAGGAGTATTAGTAGGTGCCCTTTTGATAAGAGCCAGTTAAATAAGAGATAAGCCAGCATAAAATGTATAATTAATAAAAACAATCTCAGGACTGTATATAACACATACAAATAAAAGAAATTAAACAGAATGCTACAGTTGTATTGATCTCAAATATCAAGATGTTTATCATATTTAGGGAAACACAATAGAAGCATTAAAAACCCTTCTTTCACGATTTATCAAATGATTCTTATGTGCACTTTTAATATGATTTTCGATGAAGACTGCCTTCGATTGCTTTTTGTATGAATATTTTCCAAAATACCTTCGTGTGAACACAGTGTTCGGTTGCTTTCTGTGTACCTCGAATCCCGCCCAGAGCTTTTTGTGTATCCTCATCCGTACTGCTAGTATCTGTGGTTGTTTCTATTTTCTACACCTGTGCCCTGACCTTTTGCAGCTGTGGCGATTGAATCCAAAGTTTCTAAATAACACCAAGTTTCATAAGGGTGATATTCTCTACTACAATCGGGTCCCCAAGACGGGCAGTGAAACCCTGATCGAGTTGATGATACAACTGGGTAAAAAGAACGATTTCCAAAACGAACGGGCACCGTTTTCAAAGCCCGTGGGAATATACTGGTCCGTAGAGCGCCAACAACAAGAAGCCGTGCGCATCATGGAACTGCAGGAGGAACTAGCTTTTGTCTATGTGGAGCATATGAACTACATGAATGTCCGGCCGTTCCACTTACCCCAGCCAATCTACATTAATATGGTAGGACAAAAAATCTGCCCCGCGGAGGCTTGCTCACTTACTCACCTTAATTTATTAGATTCGTGACCCCGTTGAAAGAGTCATCAGCTGGTTCTACTATAAACGCACACCGTGGAACTCGGTCAAAATGTTTAGGGTCACCGGAAAATTCGAGAATCGCACCCATTACGTCAAGAACTTTGAAGATTGTGTCTTAACGCGCGATCCAGAATGTCGTTATGATCACGGTCTAATGTTCAAAGAAGACCTCGCCGATCACAAGCGTCAGAGTCTGTTCTTCTGTGGACACTCACCCATTTGCGAGTAGGTAGTTTTGATATTCTGCTAGTTTCCAGACTTAACGGTAAGGTTTTCCTCTCAAGACCCTTCAATACCCCGGGAGCAATTGCAAGGGCCAAACAGAATGTAGAACGCGATTACTCGGTAGTCGGTTCGTGGGAGGATGTGAATGTCACTTTGGCAGTCCTCGAAAGCTATATACCTCGGTTTTTCAAAGGCAGCACGGATCTGTACTATGGTAATGTTCCCACAAAGTTGCTATTTATAGGTGCTTAAAATACCCATGTCTCCCCCTAGAACCCGTTAATGGCCTGGCTTTTAAGAAGCAGAACATCAACCACTGGAAGCCGAAGATTAGCGAACGCATCAAGCGAATAATGCGAGCCAACTTCACGCAGGAATATGAATTTTATTATTTTTGCAAGCAGCGCTTATATCGACAATACTTTGCAATAAATAGGCACCTGCATTTCTGAGGAACAGTATCCTTTTTTCGTTTTTCCATTAACTTTACTCCGCAAAATCCTGTAGTTTATTTTATGTTTCGATGTCGATGTTGGTTTTGACTCTTGTTTTAAAAGGAATTGGACTTATTTCTCTCTCCAATTTTAAGCTGGAAAACTTGGACGCGGCTCAACTAAATAATACCCGAAATGCGGATCGTGATTTTGTATTCTACAATCGTCTGGAAAAGACAGGAAGTCAGTCGATGACGCGACTCATGAAGCAACTGGGTGATCGTCTTGGATACGACACTTACAGAAATATCATCCGCCTTGCAAAACCAATCACTGATAGCGATGAGGATGAGAGAGATCTAGTGGATCAGCTCTTCGAACTGGGGGAAAACGCTGCTTACGTGGAGCATGCAAATTGGATCAACTTCACAAAGCACGGGAGTCCACGCCCAATTTACATCAACATGGTCCGCGATCCCATACAAAAGGTGATCAGCGCCTACTATTACCAACGGCATCCGCTAATCTTCGCCCAGGGAATGATGCGGAATCCCAAGAAGCGAATTCAGACTAAGGATTATTTCGACACCACATTCAACGATTGCGTTAGGAATCGGATACCCCCATACTGTGTTTTTGATGCCCACAATCCGTTTAACGGCGATTGGAGAAGATTTTCGCTTCACCTCTGTGGAAACTCGGAAATTTGCACGTAGGTTTTATCCGCTCAGAACAGAAATCTAGGCTTTTATTCGTGAACCAGCTTTAAAGGGAATAGAAATACTTTAAAGAAACTTTATTTTTGTTGAAAACTATACCATACGAATGGTTATAAAGTTAAATTGAAGTACAATGAATTAGTGTTCAAAACTTAAAATTCTATCCCATTAAAACTTGAGGGCGAAATAAGGCTTTTTTCAGGGAGTAAAGTTAATATTGATCTTCTTACTTAGGCATTTCAACTCCGAAACTACCACGCAAATCGCCAAAAGGAATGTGGAACGGGAGTATGCGGTCGTGGGTAGTTGGGAGGATACAAATGTGACCTTGGCTGTTTTAGAAGCCTACATACCGCGATTTTTTGCCAATGCCAGGAGTGTGTACTATAGTAGGTTTATCCATACGGAAAATTAAAAAGAATCTACTCAGCTAATTTCAAACTCTCTTACTTAGACAAAACAGATAAATTTACGATAAATAAAGTGTCCCATGACACTCACCTGGATAAGGATGTGGAGGAGTATCTGAGGAGCAGTTTCTCCTTCGAGATTGAGCTATACCTGTTTATCAAACAGCGACTCTACAAACAGTACATTGCAGTGCACAATGACGAATTTTAGGCGCCTTAGTTTTATATACCATGAAATTTACCAAATTAAATAAACGATGGACTTTGCCAAATGATCTTTACACCTAAATTTCAACTCGAGTCTACTTCCCCTTCTTTCGCTACTAATCATTTAGAAAAACTTTGTTGCTTGAATTCACTCTCCGCTCTGCCACCCATACCAGAAATTAATTCAAGGGTGACCAACGACCTTTGCAGATCCTTCAGCTAAGTCCTGAAAAACTTAACAATACCCCCAAGGCGGAAATAGATGTGTTGTTTTTCAATCGGGTCCCAAAGACAGGAAGTATGCAGCTGATAGAACTTATGAGACAGCTGGGAAAAGTCCATGACTATGAGGTGGAAAAGGATCCCCAAAATGGAGGAGTCATTCCTCTTCTGGAAACCGCTGAGGAAAGCGACATGATCGACAATATTGTGAACTTTGAGGATGGCACAGTATTCGCCAGTCATGTGAATTTCCTAAACTTTACCAAGCATGAACAGCCGAGGCCCATTTATATCAATATGGTTCGCGATCCCGTGGAGAGAGTTATCAGCTGGTATTACTACATCCGAGCTCCGTGGATTTTTGTGCCTGGAAGAAGGCGTAATAATCGCGAAATGCCCAACCCCAAGTGGGTAAACACCGAATACGATCAGTGCGTTTCCAGTGGCGAAAAAGTATGCACCTACATTGAAAATTCTCTGCTGGAACATGTGGGTGATCATCGGCGACAGACTCTGTTCTTCTGCGGCCACAATGAGTTTCAGTGCACGTGAGTTAGGTTTGCGGACACATTTTTTCTTTTAGTTCAACTCCGTCCAACCCCTTTTAGACCCTTTAATGCTCGCCTGCCCCTTCAATTGGCCAAAATGAATGTGGAACGAGAATACTCTGTGGTGGGGACTTGGGAGCATACGAACGAAACCCTTGCTGTTTTAGAGGCCTACGTTCCTCGCTATTTTGCGGATGCCTCCAAAATGTACTACTGTAAGTTCCTGCGGGAAGTAAATCAAAAAAAATGTATACGTCTTTAAAATCATGATTGAAAAATCTCAAGTTTGCTGATTTTGGATTTACATTTTTCTTTAGAATCTACAGAATCTTCAAAAGTTTATAGAATCATATATTTTACAGCGGGTCTGCATGTCGACAAGCAAAATGTTAACCCAATGAAGCCGCATATATCGCAGGATATTTTAGATATGGTTCGTCGGAATTTCACACGTGAAATCGAGTTCTATCAATTCTGTCGTCAGCGTTTGCACAAGCAGTACCTTGCGATCAAACTGAACGATCTCAAGCGGGTGGACAAGTCATTGGCCAGATTAAGTGAGGCTAAAGATATGGCTATCAACAACTAGTTTATTTAGATTTATAATTAATCGAAATTAATAAAAATGACTGGAGAAACTAAGACTTTCCTTAAATGCCGAAAAGTTTACCTTCGAGTTATCTCAGTTAAACAATAATCCCTACTGTCTACAGCTTTTTTTATCAAAATACCATTTTCTCTTTCCTCTAAAACCAAGACTAAGGGTGGGAAAGGTGCTGTCTTGCTGAAAGACTACTGATCCCATCGGGGGATACTAAAGTTAGTTCATCCGAATCTTGAGTAAAGCAAATAAATTACTAGTAAACTAAGCTCTTCTATTAATTTAAAACTATCGCTTAATAACCGACCAATAAAAACGAAACTATCCTTTTATTCTGCTCGACCTTCCGATTTCAACGGGAAATACTCTATATCGCTTTATAATCGGAACGAATAGAATTCATAAGACCGCTGCTTACTAACCAGGCATGGAATAGGATCACCAGGCTGATATTCCTCTTATCGAACCCTTATCACCTTTAGCTCCAGCACCTGAGCACGAATCGTCTTAACAACACAAAAAATGCGGAAATCGATGTACTGTTCTTTAATCGCGCCGCCAAAGTCGGAAGTGAAGCCATGCTGGAGCTCTTCATTGCTCTAGAAAAGTACAATGACGATCTTACACTGGAAAGACATGGGCTCCATACGAAATCCTTTCGCCAAATGGACAAAAAGCAGCGACGTGAGTCCGCCGAGTTTATCACCGATCTGGAGGAGGGTACCATGTATATAGAGCACATAAATTGGCTTGATTTCGACGAATTCGACTTACCCAAACCTATTTACATCAACTTGGTTCGTGATCCCGTTGAAAGGGTTATAAGTTGGTTCTTCTACGCCCGAAGTTCCTACAAGAATGCCATCGAGTACAAGAAGAGGCCTGATCAAAAGATAAAACCCGAGTCCTGGTATAAGAAGAACTTTAATGATTGTGTGAGGAGTGGAGATCCAGAGTGTCAATACGTGCCGCATACAGTCAAGGATACGTTTGCCAATTTCAAGAGACAATCATTGTTTTATTGCGGTCATCACGATGATTGCATGTAAGTAGTTAGGGATAGTAAGATGTTTCCCCAAGACTATAGGCCAATCTAATGGTGATTTTTTAGTCCCTTCAACTCACCGACTGCCGTTCAAATGGCCAAGGAGCACGTGGAAAGGGATTACGCTGTTGTAGGCAGTTGGGAGGACACGAATGTAACCCTAACCGTCCTTGAGAATTACATCCCACGATTCTTTCGCGGTGCCAAGCTTATGTATGAAAGTAGGTCCCTAAGGTCAGACAAACCGTAGAAACAGAACTCATTTTGTTTACCCCATTTCCAAACAGTGCATAATAACAAGATCACCAATCGGAACAAGAACAAACGCAAGCCGTTCATAGAGCCAGAAGTCAAGGAGATGATACGCAAGAACTTTACTAACGAGTACGAGTTTTATTACTTCTGCAAGCAGCGTTTGTATAAACAGTATTTGGCCCTCAATCTGAAGGAGTTGGAGAAGCATGGTCTTTTAAACTAGTTGGGTTAGAGTCCGACATTTAGATTGTAGTAGGTGATATATATGCGAACAAATCTTCACATTTTAATAAAAATTAGTCAGTAAAACCGTAGACTAGAGCCACACTTTTCTTACACGTTGTCATTTCTGTGTCTTATCGTTTGTTGTGTGGCATCAAGCCTTCCAATGAAGCTTCTAAAACCCTTATCCCATACCATATCCCCAAATAGTTAGGAGACCTAACACCTCGCCGACTAAACAATACAGCCAAGGCCGAAATGGATCGTCTTTTTTTCACGAGATGCGCCAAAGTGGGCAGCGAGTCGCTGATGGAGTTCATGGAGCATCTGCAGGATATCAACAATTTTCGGGTGGATAAATATGGATTCAGCAAGAAAACAAAAAGGCAACTGAAACCGCTGGCACAGGCCCGAACTGCTGGCTACGTCTACAACATGGACGAGGGATCGGTTTACATAGAGCATATTCCTTGGATCGATTTCAATGAGTACAATCTCCCCAAGCCCATCTTCATCAATCTGGTTCGCGACCCCGTGGAGCGTATGATCAGCTGGTATTACTACGTCAGGAACTCTTACAGGAATGCCATATTCTACCGAAACAACCCCCTGGCTCCCATTAAGCCCACTGCTTGGTTCAAGAAGACCTACAACGACTGTGTGAGGAGTGGGGACCCGGAATGTCAGTATGTTCCATTGGCAGTGCACGATGTGGAGGGAAACTTTAAAAGGCAATCGATATTCTTCTGCGGGCACGATCAGGACTGTTTGTGAGTGCTGCGGAGGGCGAAATGACCCTACCTCCAGAGAAGTGTTCCTAACCATAACCCCTTTTCAGGCCATTCAATTCTCCCCTGGCTGTTCAGATAGCCAAGCGTAGGGTTGAATCCGAGTATGCTGTAGTGGGAACTTGGGAGGAGACTAACATAACTTTAACCGTCTTGGAGCATTATATTCCCCGTTATTTCGCTAGAGCTAAAATGATATTTCACAGTAAGAAGCCTAAATCAAAGATATCTCGACCTTAGCACTTACAAAATCTACCTTCTAGTGTATCAGAAGACATTACAGAATCGCAATCGCAATAATAGAAAGCCCCAGGTGGATGCAGATGTCAGGGCCATGGTCAGGCGTAATTTCACCCACGAATACGACTTTTACTACTTCTGCAAACAGCGTCTCTATATGCAGTATATAGCCCTTAAGCGAAATGAAATTGAACGACTGAACCCCTAATTTCTAAGACTGAACTTTCGTTAGTTAATGATATAGATTTTCTGTAGCTCTCTAATAAAGTACTCAATAGTAAATGTAACTAACACGTAAAAAACCCATAGGTAGTCCCATAAAATATCTAAGACCAATCCAATCTATATACATCGCAGCTTGCTTCGTTGAGCAGCGAAAAGTTGAACAACACTCGACATTCCCAACTGGATGTGATCTTTTTCAATCGTGGAGCCAAAGTTGGAAGTGAGGCTTTAATGGAACTCACCCAAACCATGGCTCCCTATAATAATATGACAGTGGTCACCAAGGGACCCATCAATGTTGTATCCCGCACCCGATCGCCTGGAGAACGAATGATACAGGCCCTTTGGGTGACCGAGTTGGAGCCAGGCACTATATACATAGAACATTGCAATTGGTTGGACTTCCGCAGATATCAGTTACCAAGACCGATCTATATCAACCTGGTTCGCGATCCTGTGGAGCGGATGATAAGTTGGTATTACTACGTTCGCAGTGGCTATCGCAACGCCATCCACCATCGACGATTTCCCAACGCGACAATACAATCGGAGAAGTGGTTCAAAAAGAGCTATAACGATTGTGTTCGAAGTGGTGACCCCGAGTGTCAATATGTGCCTGGAAGTATTAAAGAGGCAGTGGGTAATTACAAAAGGCAAACTCTCTTCTTCTGCGGTAACAATCGGGAGTGTTTGTAAGTGGATTTAAAAGCAGTTCGTCTTTCCATATGGAGAACTCTCAAGTGGAAAATATTTTTCAGACCCTTCGACTCTCAACGCGCCATTCAGCTAGCTAAATTAAATGTGGAACGGGACTACGCAGTTGTCGGAACTTGGGAAGAGACTAACATAACACTAACTGTATTGGAAGCCTACATTCCACGATTCTTCAGGGGTGTCAGGAATATTTTTGAGTGTAGGTTGCATTTTATTCTGCTTCTAATTCTTATTAAATCAGATTTAAAGGAGATTAGAAGAGAGATTTATGGGAAACTTGAACACTTTGAAGCTGGCTAGATACTGGGATAGTTATCAGTGTTAGTTAGTTTCACCATACACACTCTGTTTATCATCCCACTCATCTGTGTTTTGTTTTGGACATTTAATGGAGCCTACATGTTTTGTAGTACAAAAACCCCTGACCTTCCCAGCTCGGACGGGTGACCCTAATGAATCTGAACAACACTCGATACGCGGGCTCTGATCTAGTGGTCTTCAACCGACCAACCCGAGTGGACAGCGAGCAAATGCTGCCACTTTTCAGGCAACTCGCTGCCATGAATGATATAAATGTGGTGCTGAATGGACCTGTTAGAACGATGAATAGAACTCGTACTGAGAAGGAACAACTAACCGAATCGGAATGGGCCAATGAACTGGAAAGTGGTTCCATTTATATGGCGCACTCTAATTGGCTGGACTTTGCAAGCTTTGGATTCAAGAAACCAATCTATATTTCCCTAGTGAAGGATCCCATCGATCGGATGGTTACAGATTTCTACAAGAGACGCTCTTGGGTTAAGAGAGCAATTTATAGAAGGATGTATCCAGGACGTCGTGAGAGGCCCGATGAGTGGTACCAACAGAGTTTCAATGAGTGTGTGAAGAGTGGAAATCCAGAATGCCTCTTTGTCCAATTCTCAGTAGCGGATTACATTCAGGACTTTAAAAGACAGTCCCTTTACTTCTGCGGCAATGAACCCGATTGCTTGTGAGTAGTTTAAGACATTGTTAACTTTAATTTGAAGTATTACCGTTCTGTAGACCTTTCAATTCAAACTATGCCATACAAATAGCAAAGCAAAGAGTGGAAAGGGAATATTCTGTGGTGGGCACTTTTGAAGAGAGAAACATAACCCTGACTGTGCTGGAGAAATACATTCCCAGATTCTTCAATCATGCTCGATTTCTATATAAACGTAGGTAGACCCAGGGGCTAGGCTCAAAAAGTGTTCAAGTATGCTCACAAAGTGTCGAGAGTCATGAATTTATCTCTTTCAGTGCACAGCAAAAGTATTCGAAACCGGAATCGGAATAATCGTAAACCCCACATAGATCCTGATGTTAGGGAGATGGTAAGGCGGAATTTTACCAACGAATATGAGTTCTACTACTTTTGCAAGCAGCGTTTGTACAAACAATATTTGGCCCTGCAACTCGAGAATAATCTTCATTAAAAATTTCTGATGGAAATAGATATAATAAATAACACAAATTTCTTCGAAAGATATTTTATATTTTGTACAATAAGTTGGGTCTACGGGGTTCCCCTATCTTATCTTAAAGCCAGGTCTATAGGATTGGTTTAAGAAATGCCTCTGCTCAGTTAAAAGTCCCAACAGGTGAGACAACCAACCCTTTGCCCTGAATGCATATCAAGCACCAATGATGTAAAGGTAATTGAAAACTCAAAAATACGAATTTTAACCTTTATTTTTTTTAAATTATTTGTAACATTTTCTTTAAAAACTTCTTACCAGATGTCCTCCCTCAACGTCCGGGACTTGAATAATACCCGCAAGGCTCAAATGGAACTGGTATTTTTTAATCGAGTTCCAAAAGTTGGCAGTCAAACGTTCATGGAGCTTCTTCGTCGACTTTCCGAGCGTAATAATTTTCAGTTCCATCGTGATGCCGTCCAAAAAGTGGAGACAATTCGATTGGCGGAGGATCAACAGCAAGAAATGGCCGAGGTGATCAGTGAGCTTCCGGAACCATCGGTCTTCATCAAGCATGTGTGCTTTACCAACTTTACCAAATTCAATCTGCCCAAACCCATATACCTAAATGTGGTTCGTGATCCTGTGGAGCGTGTTATCAGTTGGTTTTACTACGTGAGGGCTCCTTGGTATTTTGTGGAGCGCAAGGCTGCTTTTCCGGATCTACCATTGCCCCATCCCGCTTGGCTAAAGAAGGATTTCGAGACGTGTGTACTTAATGGCGACCAAGAGTGTACCTATACTCAAGGAGTCACGGTGGAGGGAATTGGCGATCATCGCCGTCAAAGCCTTTTTTTCTGTGGTCACGACTACGAGTGCACGTAAGTTTTCCATTTTAACTACTCAAATCAGTACAATTTCTAACCGCAAATAATAAAAATCTAATATCTTATTTGTTTAATGATCTCATTTAATTTATAGACCCTTTAACACTGTGGGTGCCCTGGAGCGAGCTAAGTTTGCGGTAGAGCAGCAATATGCTGTTGTTGGTGTACTCGAAGATCTCAACACCACACTCTCTGTCCTGGAAAAATATGTACCACGATTCTTTGAAGGGGTTCGAGATATTTATGCAAGTAAGATGTTGGAAATCAAATAGTCAAGTTAGCTTCTATACTTCTAACCACATTTATGTTTTTCTTACCCTATAGCTAGCGCCGAATACTTAACAAAGATCAACAAGAACAACTTTAAGCCGCCGGTCAGCGAACATGTAAAGGATATAGTGCGTCGGAATTTTACGAATGAGATCGAGTTCTATCAGTTTTGCCGCCAGAGACTCCACAAACAATATCTAGCTGCCCACTTACCCCAGCGAATTATCACGGATTCAGTACATCTTCCGGCCCTGCCTGGCAATTAAATTGCTTCCTTTTTAAATCACGAACGAATGTAGAAAAAATATGACCAACAAAATCGTACTCAAACGTGTAGTCAGCTAAGTTCCCCAATATGATTTAGCAAACTGATTGTTTTTTCTTGTGTATATTTCAAAATGGTTATCAAAAATATGACAAATCCATCTTATATTTATATTGATTAGTAAGTACTTAATGTTAGAAAGACCTGAATTTGAATTGTGATGTCTTCAAGTAAACTGTTGAAATTTTTGTTTTAGTATTTTAGTTTTAAGAAGATTATGATAATACAATGTATAAACTAATAAATGAATATTTTAAGAACACTTCGCTTTTGTACTGGTTTCGCTGTTTTGACTATGAAATGATAAACATAATGATGAAATCAACGATTTTTAACATAATAATGGGTAACAAAACATGAACAGCAATGCAAACTTTCGCAAAACGAATGCAACCATTTGAGTATTTATACATAATGTCATTTAATGTATGTTTTAAAAATATAGATTGAGAAATGAAAGAAAACAATAACATACGATTGACGGCTTTATCGTGAACTATTTTACTAACTGGGTCTCTGGTCGAGATTTTTATTCTAACTTATAGCACTTGTTGATTATCGTCGGATTCGAGCATCGGTTAATTGGACGTTTTTTGCTGTAGATAGATTAAAACATTTAGTAACTAGTTATGATTGTTAAATATGATTTGTATACCGCTTATTGCCAAAAAAAGCGAAAGCCTCTTCTGGTTTCATAGCCTCCCAAGGTCCAGGTATTTCTTTGTGCACCCTTATTATATGCGATGTAGAACTATCATTGTTTGGTACTTCCACAATTCGTTGGGAATCCTTTATATATATCGATATGGGATCCTTTTCAATCACATTTAAAATATTATCATCGTGTAATTTTAGCCATTCTGGACTTTCCGATTGAATGCTCAATAATTCAGGTGCCAAACGTTGTACTGCTCCGGCAAAAATGGCATCCATGGCACAAGTTAGGGGGCATTGATAAGCAGAAACATGTAGCCGCCACCTTGCCTCGAACAAGCGATAAATACGATGATAGTCCTGATAACGATACTCAATGCGTTGTCCATCGGCAGATATGCGCGCTTGAAGAAATACATCATCAAAGTCCATTTCCGCTGAGTTAAGTACTTTTAAACGTTTGTTATCACGGCGCAGATAATCCCATTTATCGACATCCAAGCCGCAGCGACTATTATGAACAATATCGAAGATGTAGGTATGCCCCAACATAGGGAATGACAGAGAGTCACTGCAGCCCAAAATCAAAGCCTTTATCAACTGAACTCCTCGCCCGCAACCATCGTCTCTCAAGGAGACCAGCCCCTGATGGCGGGCGTTGTTAAAAATGAGATCAACACAGGCCAATGCGTTTTTCTCGTGCTAAAAGAAAAACAATTAATATAGTGCGTCAGAAAAATTGTAGCACCCATATACAGTTGCGAAAAAAATAATAGCACCACTTCCGTTTTTTATACCTTTGCAGAGGGTATTATGATTTCAGTCAGAAGTTTGCAACGCAGTGAAGGAGACGTTTCCGACCCCATAAAGTATATATATTCTTGATCAGCATCACAAGACGAGTCGATCTAGCCATGTCCGTCTGTCCGTCCGTCTGTCCGTCTGTCTGTTTTTACGCAAACTAGTCTCTCAGTTTTTGAGCTATCGGGATGAAACTTTCCCAAAAGTCTTCTTTCTATTGCAGGTAGTATATATGTCGGAGCCGACCGGATCGGACAACTATATCTTATGGCTCCCATAGGAACAATCGGAAAAAAAAACTTTAAAAAATTCTAGCTTCGGTGTTTTTTGAAATATTACCTTCTACTTTTGGGGATGTTATTTTTTAAATATATCTGAATTTCGAATTAATTATTTAAAAAATCGGACTACTATATCTTATAACTGCCATAGGAACGATCGGAAAATTAATGGAAAAGTAATAGGAAATAAATTTTAGCTTCTTTGGTTTTTATTGTATTATCCCCTACTCTAGGATATGACTCTTTTTAAATATTTTCGAATTTCAATTTTAATTTGATCAAAATCGGACGACTATATCATATAGCTGCCATAGGAACGATCGGAAAATTAATGAGAAATATTAGAAAAATGAACATTTTTGCGATTTGTAAATTAATAGGAATGATCTGCAAGGGTATATAAGCTTCGGCTGTATAAACGATATATTTTTTTTAGATTTGAATAAAACTAACTTTTCCTGATATCCAGACATCAAATTGATTACCATTTGGCAATACAAGGACATGTGGAAAATTTTCCAAGTCGGAAAAGAAAAATATTCAAAAAAGAAGCATATTGGAGGGAAAACGGTCATGAAAACCGGTTCGATTGGTTAGGTTTTTGATCATCTTCATTAAGAATGGCATAAACTTTGAAGGATATCATAGAAAAACCGAGTCCTGGCCCATTTTTCCTTCCAAAATGTTTTATCACAAAGCACAAAGAATCTTATCAGGGCCAAAACTAAACTAAAACACGTCCTTAAAACAAGAAAAAAAGCTAGCTTCGGCCAGCCGAAGCTTATATACCCTTGCAGATCGTTCCTATTAACTTACAAATCGCAAAAATTTTAAATTTCGTATTTTTTTTATCCTTCCCCATTGTAGCTATATAATATAGTCGTCCGATTTTTGTTAAATTTAATTCAAAAGTATAAGAGAATACAATAAAAACCAACGGAGCTATAATTTGTTTCCAATTAATTTCCCATTAATTTTTCGATCGTTCCTATGGCAGCTATATGATATAGTCGTCCGATTTTGATAAAATGAAAATTGAAATTCGGAAATATTTAAAAAGAGTCATGTTCTAAAGTAGAAGAGAATACAATAAAAACCAAAAAAGCTAAAATTTATTTCTGTGTAACTTTTCCATTAATTTTCCGATCGTTCCTATGACAGCTATATGATATAGTCGTCCGATTTTTAAAATATTTTATTCAAAATTCTGAAATATTTAAAAAATAATATTTCCAAGAGTAGAAGGTTTTATTTCAAAAAACACCGAAGCTAGAATTTTTTTAACGTTTCCTTCCTATGGGAGCTATAAGATATAGTTATCCGATCCGGTTGGTTCCGACATATATACTACCTGCAATAGAAAGAAGACTTTTGGGAAAGTTTCATCACGATAGCTTCAAAACTGAGAGACTAGTTTGCGTAGAAACGGACGGACAGACGGACAGACGGACGGACAGACGGACATGACTAGATCGATTCGTCTAGTGATGCTGATCAAGAATATATATACTTTATGGGGTCGGAAACGTCTCCTTCACTGCGTTGCAAACTTCTGACTGAAATCATAATACCCTCTGCAGGGGTATAATAATAGCGAATATTTTAATAGTTGGATAATGTTTTAATAAACAAATTTATAAAACATGCCCTTAAAAAAAATACTATCTAACATATTTACAAGGGCATAGGTCTCATCAAAAAAACTTACAAATGAATGCCCGCAAACTTATGAGAATGTGTGAAGGCAAAGTTAAATTGGGTAAGAAGAAATCCTTTTTAGAAGTCATGTGTCTTCTAAACACCTAAATTGACCAAAAACATGGTACCAAAATATCCATTTATTGAGCATGGACCTAGTATTAACATAGGCTTGTTTTTCCTTCTTGAAGTAAGATCAATACGGATGGATACATCGTTCATTAATCATCCTATGATGTAAACATTGATACGGTAGTAATTCGTAGCTTAAACAAAATACAAAATACTTTTTAAATGAATCTTTGACCAATATAATCTGGCCTGGATCACGGTCAGGATAGCAAAGAAAGAGTTCGAAAGTACTCAGTAAGCAATATACTTGTGTACTCTCTTGACCATAAAACAACCAAAAATCTTTGAGTTTTTTTTTTTTAAAACAGTTTACAGGGGTGGTCAAAAGTATTTTCACAAATGTAAATGTTAACTGTACTTATATTTTGAGCTAATAATATAAACTTTTGGCACCTATAGAAAGAGCACTTCAATTCTGTTTAAATGACACAAAAATGTTCTTAACCCATTAAGACCCCTTTGAAAAGTGAGCAAATTTTGCGAAAGTCAAATTTTCAACTTTTTTTCTGGGGCTTAAAACAAAAATGTTTTGATGCAAAGTTGTTCCCCAATCAAAATTATTAATAACTGCAAAAAAAAAGATTTCAAAATATTTTTCCTTGTATTTTTTATGATTTTTTGAATGGAGACATCTCAGTAAAATTTTGTATGAAAAGGAAGAAAATGCGGCTAAAATAGCTATTTTCAAATAATCATAAAAAATACAAGGAAAAATATTTTGAAATTTTCTTTTTTGCAGTTATTATTAATTTTGATTGGGGAACAACTTTGCATCAAAACAGTTTTAAGCGCCAGGAAAAAAGTTGAAAATTTTATTTTCAAAAAAAATTGTCTAATTTGCTCACTTTTCAAAGGGTGCTTAATGGGTTAAGAACATTTTTTTGTCTTTTAAACGGAATTGAAGTGCTCTTTCCATAGGTGCCAAAATGTTTATATTATAAGTTCAAAATATGAGTACAGTTAACATTCAAATTTGAGAAAATACTTTTGACTAGGGTTGTATACAGTTTTTAGATTAACTTAGAGAAGTGGTGCTATTATTTTTTTCGTAGGTTTTTCCAGTGTTGCATAGATTTTCTTAAATAAGTACAGAAACCTTTTATAAAGCTAACATTTTTTTTTTCATATTTAACTTATGTTTAGGCTTACTATTTAAAACACGTTTTGAAAAGTTAAACAAGTTAAAAAATGTGAGTAGGGTGACTAGTTAAAATTTTTTTGTGTTAGTGGTGCTATTATTTTTTTTCGCAGCTGTACTTACGTCAAAATTATGATTGCTTGCAAGCTCCCACGCATGTGACATTGGTCCATGTCCAATATCGTGGAGGAGGGCGGCTATCTCCACCGCCTGACGACACCAATCCGGCAGTTTTGGCTTATAATGCGAATTCCGTTCGATGGCCCTTAGGTGATCCTGCGCACTTTTGTATGTTCTTTAATATAAAATAATAATTAAGATTTTAATTTAAATTACGCCTTTCCAAGATTACCCAAGACAATGCTCATATCGCTTGTGATTAGCCTTCTTATCGAGGGACCACGGCAGGAGACCCAATTGATGAACATGTTTAAGCCGCTGAAAGAGAGGATGCTCCACGATCTCCTGAATATGGCTGGGCAGTTCAATTACACCGTGTACCTCATCCTCAATAAGCATCTGAAAGAAATGAACATTATACATATAACTCTATTAATTTATTTGTAGTAGAAAATATATTCTAATAAAATAAATGTAAAAACAAATTAAATTTTAAAGGACCTGTAATAATGGTAATTGTTATACCCGTTACTCGTAGAGTAAAAGGGTACATTGTATTGCAAAAGTAAGTAACAAGTAGAAGGAAGCGTTTCCAACCCCATAAATGCAATTTTGTTGTGTTTATTTATAACTATCGAAATGTAGAAGAAATTTTATAAATCGGACCATTCGTTAAATAGTTATGACCGATCAAAGTTTTATAAATCCATCTCCCTCGCACTCCCTTTAGCTGAGTAACGAGTATCTGATAGTCAATATCTTTTTGTAATTAATTATCTCGTTTCGTTTAAATACACATTATATTAATATAATTTATGAATTTTAAATTGAATTTAGCTGCTGCTTCCACCGCCACTGCTTCCACCGCCACTGCTTCCACCGCCACTGCTTCCTCCACTGCTACCTCCACTGCTACCTCCACTGCTACTTCCACTACAACTTCCACTAGTTCCAGCACTGAAGCTTCCACCTCCGCCTCTACCGCCTCTACTCCCCATACACATGGAGACTAAACAGAGACTTAAGCATATAATGTCTGGAATTAAGCCCATGGCTGCCATAATATACTCCTTCTTCTCGAGCTGACCATCTATCATCCGCTGAATGTTAAGAACAAGCGATGCACTACGGGTGAGTACTTTGGTAAAAATGTTGGAAAATTTCAAACAGGATACTCTTACCAATATGGGAGGATCAGCATTTGGCCTGCTGCGTACATTGCCAATAAAACAGTAGTGCTATCAGACTTCCAAAAAATAAGAAAATTTATAATTGAGAAGTAAATAAAGACTGCCAAAGCTTGCTTCCAATTTTTCAATAGGGTATTTAAGGTACTTTCATGAAATAAAACAACAACGGCTGCAATAGTTAATGAAATAACCATGCTTATCTGCAAAAGTCGATCTACATTTTTCTAGTCTTTTTAAAAACACTATGCTCTTACAGTCACTTGGGCAAGAACCTTCCGGTAATATTTTGGCCGCTTCAATGTGTTATCATGCGGAATATCGCTACCCAAAGGAGGGGGTAAAATCAAGCTGGCTGAAAATGCCATTTTTAAGAAGTAAAATTTTGTTTATTCAATCGAAGTTTTCAGCTAACAGTGTACGACTATAAACGCTGGGTCACTATATTTGATCAAAAAGTTGATATACACAACCAAAATTATGCAACTATGGCATATTAAATAGTAGAAGACAATAAGCATGGTTTTATGTGAAGATTATAATCTACATATATCTTCGGAATAGAAAACATGGAAATTGGGTCAATGGCCAAGATGTATGGCCAAGGTATTTGATTTTTGATTTTTGTTCCCTTGCAGAAGTTAACAACGGAGTAAATAAGGCGTTTCCCAACCTATAAAGTATACATATTCTTGATTTTCATCATTAGATAAGCCGATCTAGAAATAAAGGAAAACATGAAAGGAAGCTAGCTTCGGCAAGCCGAAGCTTATATACCCTTGCAGATCATTAATTTAATTAATTAATTTACAAATTGCAAAAATGTTAAGTTTTCTATTATTTCTCATTAATTTTTCGATCGTTCCTATGGAAACTATATGATATAGTAGTTCGATCTTTTTAAAATTAAAATCGAAACTCGGAAATATTTAAAAAGAGACATTTCCCAGAGTAGAAGGAAATGTAATAAAACAAAGATATAATTTTGTTCCTATTTATTTCTATTTAATTTTCCGACCGTTTCTATGGCAGCTATTTGAAATAGTAATCCGATTTTCAAAATATTTAATTCAAAATTCAGAAATATTAAAAAAATAATATTCCCAAGAGTAGAAGGTAATGTTTAAAACAAGAGAGAACGCTATAGTCGGGTTGGTGTCCCAACTATCTAATACCCGTCACCCAGCTAAAGGGAGTGCAAACGCTGTACTCGGGTTGGTGTCCCGACTAATAATTAATTCAAAGTACTTTTTCCGCTAAATTGTGCCTCTGGGCTACGAAGGGTTTTCTTACTATTAAGTAGCAAAAAGTGCCTAAAAATCGAAAATTTGGAACTTTCACCACGGATTTCTCAAAACTTCGACGTGATGGAAAATTTCCAAGTATAAGGTAGTAATCTATTCTTTTATTCTTGGGCTTTTTTTTTGTCGACCAGTGTAATCGTAACTCAGCTAATGGGAGTGCGAGGGAGATAGATATATATTGACAATTTTGAATGCGTATAACTTTTTAATGGATGGTCCGATTTGAAAAATGTCTTCTACATTTTGATAGATATAAATATACACAACAAAATTGCACTTATACTTCTTGGAAATCTTTAAAGATGTGGGTGCAGGACCCATTTTAAAATCGTTAGTGGGCGATTGTGGGCGTTAGAGGGGGCGTGGCGCTCGGCTGAAATAAACTTGCGCTGCGTAGGAAGCCAAAGAATATGTGTGGAAAATCTCAACCTTTTAGCTTTTGTAATTTCTGAGATCTCAGCGTTCATACAGACGGACAGACGGACATGGCTAGGTCGGAAACGCTTCCTTCTAGCTGTTACATACTTTTGCACGAATACAATATACCCTTTTCTCTACGAGTAACGGGTATAAAAACACCGAAGCTAGAATTTGTAAATGTTTTTTTCCGTTCCTTCCTATGGGAGCTATAAGATATAGTTGTCCGATCCGGTCGATTCTGACTTATATACTACCTTTTGGGAAAGTTTCATTTTTACCAAGTTTTTTTTTGTGTGTATACACATCTTTTCTAGTTAATAAACTCAGTATTCGGAACAAAAAATGTTTGTCAGCGTAAAATAAGGATTGGATTTCAGCAAGCTCATCTGAGTTTCCCACTTTTTGTATACAAATAAACTGTAAACATAGCAATAGTTTATTAAAAGTGGGAGAAAAGTAAAAAAAGCTGTTGTTGCCCCCTCGTAAGTTAAAAAAATTGGAAATAATTTGATTTTAATTTTAATAATGGGCTTTTCTTTTAACCCTTCCCAAGCTCTATTTTGCGTAAAAATCTTGATTTTGTACCACTTTTAGTTTTTAAGATATCGTTAAAAAACTGCCGTATTCGCTCGGGACAAAAATAGAAGTGGATTTCGGGGAAGTTCATTCAACACCAGAATTTAGCAAAATCTGATGGAATATATAAATGCGATTTTTATACCCTTGCAGAGGGTTTCAGTCAGAAGTTTGCAACGCAGTGAAGGAGACGTTTCCGACCCCATAAAGTACATATATCAGGGATCGCAAGTAAGAGTTACTTTTTTAAAAAAATTGACAAATAAGTTTTATTTTTCAATTTTTATTATAAAAGTTGACAAATAACTCTTATGCTTCAATTTTTATTACTCCCCTTAACTCCGCCTCTGAAGCGGACTGTCTATAACAAACAGCCGATCCATGCATGTATTTATGTACATAATTCTGATCACCATTTAATAAGAAATCATCCCGGCTACAAAAATAAACAAATGAAATGAACAATAAGTGGAAACACTACTTTAATGATCGCAACAAGACCGAAATAGGTCAAGTGCATTTTTTGCATTTTGCAATCAGCTGTTTTAGTTGCACAGCTGTGCCGTTCCCATGGTAACCTAAATTAAAGCGGGAAAACTTACCGATGGGCGTGTTGGTGGTTGTGCTTGCAATTCGTTTTGTTGTTGCTGTTGCTGGGCAAACGGGAGCTTCGAGTTATTTGGATCCAAGGAAGGGGGAAGAGGGCGGCGTCGCTGCGCGGGGGAGCGTGTAACGGCGCTGGCTGACATTCTAAATGGATTCCCGTTCATCGGCAACCTGCGTCCAAAATAAAAACGAAAATGCGAGCAGCACGACGTCGTGAAAGCTGTCTTCCCACCGATTTGTGCTATTATATTACATCAGGAACTTTGTTTTCAATTGTGCGCAGTGTTACCGCGGGTTTGGAGAATGATTACACCGTCCGGCTCGCAGAAAATATACCATTTTCTTTTTCAAATATACCAAAAATACTGCATTTGCTAACTTAGCGAAGACACCCTCCTACTCCCCAAATTTTAGTATATAAATTATTATAGTATATAAATTTGGCGCGAATATTATCGATAACAGACATTTTTAAAGAGCAAATGGTTTATTCCTAAATACCGTTATTATTTTATTTTTTATTTACCCGTTACACGTAAACTAACTATATTTGGAATCCCAGGAACAGCACCGATCGAGTGAGGACTTAACTTTGGGTACTTATTGAAAATGTATATGAACTTCGGCTTGCCGTTGTTAACTTCCTTTCTTGTTTAGGGCTAGTACTCCACCCAACAAAAACTCGTCCAAAACAAAAAACTTCATATAAAAAATTCATATGAAAACAAGAAAGGAAGCTAGCTTCGGCTTGCCGATCTGCCCTTGCAGATCACTCCTATTAATTTACAAATCGCCAAAATGTTAAGTTTCCTATTATTTCACATTAACTTTTTGATGGTTCCTATGGCAGCTATATGATGGTTCGATCTTTTTAAAATTAAAACATAACTTCGGAAATATTTAAAAAGAGTCATTTCTTAGAGTAGAAGAGAATGTAATACAAATCAACAAAGCTGACTTGTCAAAAAAGTAAAGTATATATAGTCTTGATCAGCATCAATAGCCGAGTCCATCTAGCCATGGCCGCCTGTCCGTCGGTCCGTCTGTCAATTTCTATGCGAACTAGTCCCTCAGTTGTTAAGCTATCGCGATGAAACTTTCCCAAAAGTCTTCTTTCTATTGCACACACAAAAAAATTTGCTTGGTAAAATTGACCAACAAAGATAGTTACGTAACTATTAAAATAGTTACGAGTATTTTGTTTTTGCTTTGGGTTTGTGTCTTTGCTAATTGTGTTGTTTTTGTTGTTGTGAAATGACTATTTACTTAGTAGAATTGACAATTTTGCTGGTTGGGGCCTGTTTGACAATTATTACAGTTGATTTTACGAAGTTTTTTTTTTGTGTGCAGGTAGTACATATGTCGGAACGAGTCGGATCGGAATAATCAAAAAAAATAATAGAAAAACCATTGTAACTTTGTAGAAAGTAGGCGTTTTGATTTGTGACATGGTAAAAACAACATTTTAAGAAGGCATACCTGCAAGGGTATATAAACTTCCGCAGGCCGAAGTTAACTTCCTTTCTTGTTTTATAAACAATTCACACAGAGAAAAAAAACCAAGAACATTGCACTCAAATCAAGAACATTTGTTCTTAAAAACCGGGTAAGCACAAATGTTCTCATTTCGAGTTGAATGTTCTTAATCTCAGAACGAAATAGCGTTAGCCAAAAATCCGACATTAAGTTCACTTCGTTCTATTTTCAAGTTGATTTTGTTCTTAATTCAAGAACATTTTTAAATCAAATGGGTACAAAAATAAGTTCATTTGTTCAATTTTCAGCACTTTTTTCTCTCAATTCTATAGCATTTTGAGTTTGATTTTAGCTAAGGATAAGAGTAATTTATAAGTAATATTAAAAAGGTAGTTGTCCAATTACACCTTATAAAGGTGCGGGTTGCCCTTGACTTCCAGCTAGTGTGAAAGTTTTTTAAAGACTTAAGCCAGAATCTGAATTGAGCTTGGTTCGTGAAGGGCTAGAACCAGTTGGGAATTATATATAAGACGAAAAGGGCAAATCTAATGGTAAGGTCGTATTGGAGCAAAGGAAAATGGTCTAGTGCGTTCTAGGTGTCAAACGAAAACATCCTAACGCGTTCTAGGACATCCAAAAAAAATTAGAGAATAGAGTTTTGAATCATTTTAAGTTGAAATGCAACTTCATTTCGGTTCTTTCTTTAATCCCTTTCGTTCTCAAACTAGGAACATTTTGAGATATTGTGGTTTTTGAGAACAAAATCGATTTGATTTAAGATACATGTGCTAAAATAATAACGATTCCTTCTTATTTCAAGAACTTTTTAAGCTCAACTAGATTTTAAAAACCAATTCAACTTAATTCAAGCACATTTATAACATTTTGAACTTGAAAAAGGCCTTTCTATTTTTAAGAACATTTTCAACTCAGATGAGAACGTCAGAATTAGTCTATAAAAATGTTTTTACACGTTTTGGCAAACAACGAATTGAGAAGGAGACAGTTGTTAAGCACAATCCGCGACAGACAGCACTTAAGGAACAATTCTGATATTTTTAACCTTCCCGATCGGCAGTAAGTTAGCATTAATTAAAAATTGCAAGTATCGAAAGCTTAAATATGTAAGATTTCCAGATTTATACAATCTTAGGCTCAGATGACACATTCAATTTTTAACGTCAATTTATTGTAGCAATTTTTCTTTAATGGGACTTTAAACGATCACGAGAAAGAATCAAATATTTTTGGCTGCTCTACACACAAAAAAATTTGCTTGGTAAAATTGACCAACAAAGATAGTTACGTAACTATTAAAATAGTTACGTGTACTTTGTTTTTGCTTTGGGTTTGTGTCTTTGCTAATTGTGTGTATTTTGTTGTTGTGAAATGACTATTTACTTAGTAGAATTGACAATTTTGCTGGTTGGGGCCTGTTTGACAATTATTACAGTTGATTTTACCAAGTTTTTTTTTGTGTGTACACTAACACCAGTTTACAAAAAAAAATCGATGCAATATACCATGAGGGAAACCTTTGCTTTCCGGTAAGGTACGTCTTCCTGATTAAGAAAATGGCACTTGCAATTTTTTTTATGGATTCCATTTTTTTTTAAGTGTAAAAAACGTTTTTGACACTTTTTTAATTTCTAACTCGAATTGTGGTTAACCGATTTCAACCATAAAAGCCCTCCAACTTTCTTATACACGACATTGAGTTTCATTCATTGGTTTAGAAGCTACATTTCGTCAAAGCTGAAAAAGTTAGCATAAATGGCTTCGTTAAAAATACACGCCTAAAAACCGAAATTAGTTTTATAACTTCTACTGGTAGAAGGTGCTTTGACAAAAAAAAAACAAGCTATTGATCATAACAATCCACCAGCAAATTACATTGATATTCATTTTTGAAACTTGCGACAACGGTGTTTTTTTTGGCCGTTTACAGCTGTTAACTGACACAACAGGGCTCTAACAGGGCTGTAATACCCATTTTTCCCAACGTAAAAAATCGATACAAAATCGAGCTATTGATTGTTTTTTTTGTTGATGGTCTTGTTAGTTGACTTAAACATGTATCTTTAATTATAAGTCATAAAACTAATTTCGGTTTTTAGGCGTATATTTTTAGCGATGCCATTTATGCCAGCATTTTTGCATTTTTTCTCACTTTTACAACTTTGACGAAGTGTAGCTTCTAAACTAATAAATGGAACTCAATGCAGTGTATAAGAGAGTATGCAGAGTATAAGTTGGAGGGCATTCTATTACCTGTAAAATCAGTCATTTATGGTTGAAATCGGTTAACCACAACTCAAGTTATAAATTAAAAAAGTGTCAAAAAGTCTTTTACACTTTACACTTAAAAAAAAATTGTATCCTTAAAAAAAAATTGAAGTGCCATTTTCTTAATCAGGAAGACGTACCTTACCGAAAAACAAAGGTTTCATTCATGGTATATTTCATCGATTTTTTTTGTAAACTGGTGTTATCGATCATTAAATGGAGGGTTGAAAAAATAATTGTAGTTTTTAAATAGATTAAAAAATGACTTTTACTTTTTGTCATTTACTAATTGTCAAAACACTTGAAACGTAACTTTTAATCATTAAAATTGTTAAAGGACTAGTAAACTATGAGAAAATATGAATTCCATAAGGATCCGATAAGAGTGAGAGAGTAGCCCTACTTGCTGCGACATTTTTTCATAGTGGTCGAGTCGAGGCCTTGTTAAAAAAATTCGATATTTTAAAAAGTAAAAAAACAACGTGATACTTGATCTCTGATGGATTTCCCACGATAGTTCTGCTGAACGCACATGATTACTAATCATGATGCAAGAATTTTACATCAGTGATAAACTGATCCATCAGTGATCAGGTATCATGTTGTTCTGCTGAACGCGCCCAATGGCTTCACCATTTTAACAAAAACCGGTTGTAAGTAACAAAATAGCGCATATGTTAAGTTAAAATACATTTTTTTTTTGTGGGGAACCCGTTCATAAAATTTTTTTAAATCTTAATTTGTTTTTATGTTTAAGAAATTAAAAATTCAATTTTTTTAAAAGAAGAGGTTTTAAAGGGATTATTGCAACAGCCACAAAGTCAATCGGATTACTACAACCGGAGATACAGATTTTCAATGAAAGGGTAGGGGAGAGTGGGACAATTTTGTCAGCATTTTTTCAAAGCTTTTTTTGTCCATCTTGAGATACGTTATCATATTTATATTTTTATTGTTGAATGCGGCTAGAACCAAGCTTTAAAATGTGACATTCCCCTTTTTTTAATTACCTTGGTGATTTATAAAAAATTAAAAACTAAAACCAATATACTGTGGCATATGGGGGGATATAGGGGGGTAAAATTTTTGTTGACGTCCTATATTTGTGGCTGCTGCCGGTAGTCTGTTCGTTAGCCAGCTCGTCAAATAAAAAATATATGTATTTAAAATAGGTGCGAATTTACCCTAAGCATAGGGTGGCAAAATTTCCCCACACAGTACTTTTTTAGAAATAATTATTTTACTTCCGAAATTAGGCGCGAAGTTAAAAATCACTAACGCAGAAATGCACATTATAGCACTGTGTATTATATGAAAAAACCTGTATCTTATCCCTTTTCAGTTGTGGCATACAGAAAAAACACATTTAATATTCTTAATATTAATATCTTGGCCTTCTGTGCGAAAAAAATGCATTGGTTGAGTCACGCTGTCTTGAAGGACTAAAACAAAAAAATTCTATTTTTTTAAGACTTATGGATTCCGAGATATTGCAAGTGACGAAATTGCCCCAGTGACGAAATTACCCCACTCTCCCCTACCATAAAAATATTATTGAATTATAAAGCTATCGCGAAGTATATTTAAAGAATTCATTTGTATACTGCGGAAAATTAAATCATATGCTTGGCGGAAAGTTTCCGTGTGAATTTTTCGGAAGTTAACAGAGTAACAACAGAGGGAAATTCGATTCCGAGCAGTTCTTTCGGAAATGAGTCTTGGAACAGGTCTGGGAAATTGGAATCCGTGTGAAACTTTCGGAAGTGAAAACTATAACAGGGCCGATAGTGATCCGATTTTTAAAATATGTAATTCGAAATTCAGAAATATTTAAAAAATTATATTCCCAAGAGTAGAAGGTAATATTTTAAAAAACACTAGAATTTTGTAACTTCTTTTTCCGATCCTTCCTATGGGAGCTATAAGATATAGTTTTCCGATCCGGTTGGTTCCGACTTATACCTGCAATAGAAAGAAGACTTTTGGGAAAATTGTATCCCGATAGCTCCAAAACTGAGAGACTAGTGTGCGTAGAAACAGACAGGCGGACATGGCTAGATCGACTCGTCTAGTGATGCTGATGAAGAATATATATACTTTATGGGGTCGGAAACGTCTCCTTTACTGCGTTGCAAACTTCTGAATGAAATCATTATACCCTCTGCAAGTGTATAAAAATGTCAAGAAATGTGTCATATGAAGTTTTTGTTTTGGACGACTTTTTGTTGGGTTGAGTACTAGCCCTTAAGATAAAATATTTTTATTAAAGCAAAACGTCGAATTAAAAAAAAACACATTTTTGACTTTGGAAGATTTAAAAAAAAATTTTGAATTAAAATATGTTTTTCCCAGGGGTCGGGTTTTCTTTGTTTTTTTTTTTTAAGCCCGTTACTCATATAGTAAAAGGGTGCAAAAATATGAAACAGCTAGATGGAAGCGTTTCCGACCCCATAAAGTATATATATACTTGATCAGGGTCACTAGCCGAGTCGATCTAGCCATGTCCGTCTGTCGGTCCGTATGAACGCTGAGATCTCGGAAACTACAAAAGCTAGAAGGTTGAGATTTTCCAAACATATTCTTGGTTTCTACGCAGCGCAAGTTTATTTCAGCCGAGCGCCACGCCCCATCTAACGCCCACAATCGCCCACTAACGATTTTAAAATGTGTCTGGCGCCCACACCTTTAAAAATTTTCGAGAAGTATAAATGTAATTTTGTTGTGTATATTTATACCTATCGAAATGTAGAAGATAAATCAAATCGGACCATTCATTAAAAAGTTATGCGCAATCAAAATTGTATATATCCATCTCCTTTGCACTCTCTTTAGCTGAGTGACGCGTGTTAGATAGTCGGGACACCAACCCTACCATAGCGTTCTCTCTTGTTTTTTTAATCCGATCATTTTTGGCGGAGATATCGGCTATAAAAATTAGTGGGCGTTATTCTCATAATTATGTTACTTTATTAAAATTACTTTTATAATGCCTTTTTGCAATTAAACGCTCTTATGGAGACTCGACTTATGCTCATCCTCAGCAAATGCCTGGACTTTGAATTGTATAAGAATTATAGTATATCCGAGAATAGTGACCAGCATCTGTAAACCCACACTAGCAAGCAAATCACTTCAAATATTACAATAATATTTACCCCCCCGAAGTATTTTAAGTTGATGTCGAAGAATCCGCCGCAGGTGAAGAGTAGTTTAAGATGTTGCATCTGCAAGGAGTACTCCTGCAGTCCTCTGATTAACATGGGGAAATCGGATGCTGCAGACATGCAACGAATCTGATGAAGGATTCGCAGGAAGCAGTTATACTAGATATGTTCAATGTGTACAAAATCAATCAATTGAAAAGTAAATTTGAAGTCCAATTACCGAGTTGATACACCGCTGACTTAGAAGGCAGGCCATTAGAAGATTTATTAGCAGAATAGAGCAGGTGCAGAATCGGTCTTGAAAGGATATAAGATAAGATATAAGGTGACAATGGATATTTAATGTTATACAATCATTACCTACCATAGCGGCAGCAATCATTGTCGAGGAATGTATTAATGTAGGCCCAGTTGATCACGTGAAGGATGGTGAGTCCATTGAAGATAAACAGCAAGATCATAGGCAGGGAGAAGTAGCTACACAGCTCTCCCTCCAGTCTCCAAATGCGCCCAAGAAGCAACTGATTCCGCTTGAGAGCAACACATACTGCTTGGAGCATGTCCTGCCGGTTGCAGTCCTCCAATTCCGCCTGCAGCTGAAGAAGTGTGTGGCGCAATCGCAGCAGCAGTTCGTGGACCATCAGCACAAATACGCAATATTCCAGACACTTGAGCTGCTGCATTATTGTGACAAACTCGGTGAGAATCTTACTGGGCCAGCTGACATAGGGACCCATGGCCAATAGAGTGAATCTGGGCATTAGGCCCACCAGTAGGGTCATCCACAAACCCACAGTGAAGGCCAAACGGAAGCGGAAACTGAGTAGCTGCTTTTGTCCACCGAAACACTGCGAAGCTTGATCTATTTCCTTCTCCAGACTCGCAATGTCCTCGTAGATTCCAGCAAGCCGCCGGTAGTTGAACAGCATGTTTAAATGGTTGGCGATGGCCATCAAAGAGTAGAGGCTCTTTTGTATGTTACCCATGACCCTGGTGAAGTCTCCTACATTGTAATCCAAGACTTCCTCGTTTATGGCTACAATGTTTAAGTAGGACACAACCAAGACCAGCACAATGATTGAAGCTGCATAGCACACGTATCCACCCATCAAGTAACATCTCAATCGCTTATGTGAGGTATTGCCAAAACTTTGCGGCGGTGGCGCAAGAGCAAGCACAGAAAATATCTGGAGATACGGAAGGGCTGTGGCCAACAAACGGCTACTTTTGGCAACCATACTAGCTGAGTTATAGAAACATACTGAAAAGCATACTAATAACCTACGGACAGTGACCTTAGTGTGTACCTACACTGATAAAAACACCTAGTAAATCCAAAGATTTCATATTCAATCCAAATATTTTTCACTTTGATTTTCATCCATTGCGGCTTTTATTAAACTTAAATATGTTCATATTAACATTTTTTCAATATTAAATTTAATTATGGAAATATTTACTTTAGAGAAGAAAAAGAGATTGGCTTGAATGCTCATGTAAGCACCCTTGTTTTTTATAGCAAACCCGGGAACATTGAAATTCAATTACAAGAGAACCATGGCCGACCGCCAAATTCTTTTTGCACGTAAATTCTTAAGAAATCGCGGTCCGTCGAGGATAATTTTTTCGCGAATTTCGGGGGTGAGCCCGCTAATGTATAGTATTACCAAGAAAATAATATTGGCATGGCTCAGGGGTCAAGTGTGCAACTATTTTGTGCTCGGGGGTATGAGGTTTAATGCCCGCTCACGACATAACTTTTTCTTTTTTTTTGGTAGTCGTATTAATACTTTTTTAATACAGTATTGTTTTTTAAATTGTTATGGAAGTGTTAGATATATATAAATATATATATATATATATATGCATCATAAAAACCTTTTACTAATAGCCTATTTACACTTGGGTGGAGTTATGGAGTTTTTTTTAGATAGGTTGAGTATAGGCAACTAGATGTGGGAAAAAGTTGGGTACTTTAGGGTTTTTGATATTTCTGAGTATTTTTTTGGTATATTTTGTAAAATAAACAACAAACACTAGCTGTCATAACCCGATATTTGGAGTTAGGCCCATTTATAGTAGTCGGGTTACGTGGCTCACTCGATATACCCCACATAGTGTGACTAGACTATTGCTCTGCCTTAGTTGGGTTTTGAGCCCGGGTCCTCCCGCATTAGAGGCAGACGCCTTACCAATTGCGCCATCGCACCATGTACGCGGGAGTGCAAAAGTTCAACTTGAATGTGAAGTTATCGTGTTCGCGAACATTTAAAACTTTCTACAACTTAAAATAGAACATTTTTCATATGCTAATTTTATTTAAATACTTTGAATAGGTAAAATTAATATGAAACATTTTTAGTTTCAGTACGTTTTTTTTAATTCTGAATGTATTAACAATAAATATAAAACTTTTTCAAATAAATAATTCCTTCTTGGATTTAAATATTTTAATATTAAACTAAGCATTTTAATATGTTTCGTATTTAATACAACGTTATTTGTATTAAATTTAAATACCAAATATAAGATTTTGCATTCAATAGGCGGATATTTGTATTTACTATTCCATTTTTTTATCAGTGTAGGTACCTGAAATTTAGCTAGGGGTATTTGCATTTTCATATTTGTTGGTCTACACTCAGAGCGCTAACGCTTTAAAATTATAAATTTTTAGAAATATTTTTCTAAAAAATATAAAAATGTTCCCCATAAATTCCACATTTTGAAAATTTTGTATTTTTGGAATGATAATTAGATTAGAAAATTTTTCTAAAATTCAATGCGTTTTTCTGAGCGTTTGTTGTACACTATATTTTTCTATTAAGGAAACAAACTAGTTTTTGCGTAACTGATTATCAAGCATTGAATTAATGAAAGATAGTTTATAATCTAAATTACTTTTTATCTCTTGTGGTTTAGGTTGATTGTGTACCTTACTCATACCCACCAAAACCAATTCGCATATCTAATTATTCAATAACAAAAGGCAAGTACATTTTACTAATTAGATAGATAGGGTGGTATACCCTTGCCTTGAGATTTTTATTTGTCTGCACTCAAAAAAGTGTTTACCTAGTTTTTAGAAAATCGCCAAAAATCGATTTATCTTTCTAATTAAAAACAAATTTTAAATTTCTGAAATTTCTGGCACTGTTTGTGAATCGTCACTGTGAAGGAAGTAAGAAAATTAACTTTAAAAATTCCAAAACAATTCACAAAAATCTGATGAGTGTTCTAAAAATTAAGGGCATAGGTGTCTTTGGATCAAAAATGCATTGTAGATGAAATGCTGTTCACAAATGAAGACTTTTAAACTTTGCTAAGACTTTAAATTTTTGAATGCGCCCACATTCTCTTTTGTTTCAGTTAGATTGAATTTTCCAAAACCGTATAAAAGAGACATGTAACTATTTAATTCCGAAAAGATTACCAAAATTGATTGACCACTCCTGAAGATATATCCCAAAAGATAAAGAAAATTGGTGATTTTCTTAAATTAAAGATACCGCAAATACCAGAGCTGAAGGACTATAGGCGTAGTGGCAACTTATGCTTAGAAAAGCCTCTTTTATCGAAATAAAATAGTGACAGGCCTGGACACCGATCCATGTCACATTTTGTCGGCCTGTGTAATTGTTGAATTTTTGGTCAGCTGTTAATATGCTGTTCCATACAAAGATAACTTTCAGATATTTCAGCAATTCAACAACCTCGAGGCTGTTAAAAATTTTGTTGAATTCTTGAAAACCAGAGGTCTCACCTCATTCTACTAAAAGTCATGGCAAGTCTGCAGCATTTTACTAGCATCAGCTCGCATGATTTACTTTAAAATTAAATTAGAAGGGGTATTAGTAATTCTTTTTACCTTGCTAACAATTTTAGACAGTAACTAATAGGGTCTTCCCACAGAGCTCCATCCAACATCTACCATCCGTTGAACGGATGCACTATGGGTAATTTGACAATTTTTTGTGGCATTAATTAATATCTTAAAAACTACGCAATATTTAAAAGCTTTGTTTCTTGATTATACTATATAATTACTATTTAAAAAAAAAAAATCTTTTATTAACGCAAAGAAAAGAAAAATTTTTAAATTATTTTAATAAGAACACTTTATTCATTTTTTAAAAATATATAAAAGTTACACATTTTTGTATTTTTTGACTCAAATTTTATTTTTATAATTATTACCATTATAATTTCTAACAAAAATACTATAAACCCTTTATAACAAAGTTATTTCAGCGAAACAATGACGTAACCTAATTTTTATACCCTTGCAGAGGGTATTATGATTTCAGTCAGAAGTTTGCAACGCAGTGAAGGAGACGTTTCCGACCCCATAAAGTATATATATTCTTGATCAGCATCACAAGACGAGTCGATCTAGCCATGTCCGTCTGTCCGTCTGTCCGTCTGTCTGTTTCTACGCAAACTAGTCTCTCAGTTTTTGAGCTATCGGGATGAAACTTTCCCAAAAGTCTTCTTTCTATTGCAGGTAGTATATATGTCGGAGCCGACCGGATCGGACAACTATATCTTATGGCTCCCATAGGAACAATCGGAAAAAAAAAAACTTTAAAAAATTCTAGCTTCGGTGTTTTTTGAAATATTACCTTCTACTTTTGGGGATGTTATTTTTTAAATATATCTGAATTTCGAATTAATTATTTAAAAAAACGGACTACTATATCATATAGCTGCCATAGGAACGATCGGAAAATTAATGGAAAAGTAATAGGAAATAAATTTTAGCTTCTTTGGATTTTATTGTATTATCTTCTACTCTAGGGTATGACTCTTTTTAAATATTTCCGAATTTCAATTTTAATTTAATCAAAATCGGACGACTATATCATATAGCTGCCATAGAAACGATCGGAAAATTAATGGAAAAGTAATAATAATTTTGTATTTTTGGAATGATAATTAGATTAGAAAATTTTTCTAAAATTCAATGCGTTTTTCTGAGCGTTTGTTGTACACTATATTTTTCTATTAAGGAAACAAACTAGTTTTTGCGTAACTGATTATCAAGCATTGAATTAATGAAAGATAGTTTATAATCTAAATTACTTTTTATCTCTTGTGGTTTAGGTTGATTGTGTACCTTACTCATACCCACCAAAACCAATTCGCATATCTAATTATTCAATAACAAAAGGCAAGTACATTTTACTAATTAGATAGATAGGGTGGTATACCCTTGCCTTGAGATTTTTATTTGTCTGCACTCAAAAAAGTGTTTACCTAGTTTTTAGAAAATCGCCAAAAATCGATTTATCTTTCTAATTAAAAACAAATTTTAAATTTCTGAAATTTCTGGCACTGTTTGTGAATCGTCACTGTGAAGGAAGTAAGAAAATTAACTTTAAAAATTCCAAAACAATTCACAAAAATCTGATGAGTGTTCTAAAAATTAAGGGCATAGGTGTCTTTGGATCAAAAATGCATTGTAGATGAAATGCTGTTCACAAATGAAGACTTTTAAACTTTGCTAAGACTTTAGACAGTAACTAATAGGGTCTTCCCACAGAGCTCCATCCAACATCTACCATCCGTTGAACGGATGCACTATGGGTAATTTGACAATTTTTTGTGGCATTAATTAATATCTTAAAAACTACGCAATATTTAAAAGCTTTGTTTCTTGATTATACTATATAATTACTATTTAAAAAAAAAAATTATTTTATTAACGCAAAGAAAAGAAAAATTTTTAAATTATTTTAATAAGAACACTTTATTCATTTTTTAAAAATATATAAAAGTTACACATTTTTGTATTTTTTGACTCAAATTTTATTTTTATAATTATTACCATTATAATTTCTAACAAAAATACTATAAACCCTTTATAACAAAGTTATTTCAGCGAAACAATGACGTAACCTAATTTTTATACCCTTGCAGAGGGTATTATGATTTCAGTCAGAAGTTTGCAACGCAGTGAAGGAGACGTTTCCGACCCCATAAAGTATATATATTCTTGATCAGCATCACAAGACGAGTCGATCTAGCCATGTCCGTCTGTCCGTCTGTCCGTCTGTCCGTCTGTCCGTCCGTCTGTCCGTCTGTCCGTCTGTCTGTTTCTACGCAAACTAGTCTCTCAGTTTTTGAGCTATCGGGATGAAACTTTCCCAAAAGTCTTCTTTCTATTGCAGGTAGTATATATGTCGGAGCCGACCGGATCGGACAACTATATCTTATGGCTCCCATAGGAACAATCGGG